CCAGAAACACACACACCCAAGACCAACTTTCAATATTACCTTGAATACGAGTCTTACAGGATAAAACAAAAGAAATCTTACATTCCTACGAGGAAAAAAGCTGTTTTTTCTTTTGTGTTTTCCTGATCTACGCATTTTCAGGATAATATCGTGCGAGTGAATGCACAATGCCCCATCAACACCCTGACCATCACCAARAAACAAAGAAGTAATAAAGGGATTGACAAATGAACAATAAAGGCATTGAAAGTGTTAGATTCTTTGAGGCTTGCTTCTTTTCGTGTCGTGAGAAAGAATACTGATTCTATGAAAGAAAGAAATGATGCTCGGGAAAACGACGTGACTAAAACACGGAACGCTCACGGCCCTTTTTGATTCCTTTTATTCCCAAAGAAAAATTAAAACTTCCACGGGTTTCTACCATATTYACCCAAATATGACGTCATGTATTGTTTTGGGCGCGGTGTAGTCGAGTCACGTGTTATTCCCTCGGGTAGTTAAATCTACGCTTCAAAACACTTATTCAAACTGAAACAAAGGATTTTTAAAAAATATGCGCATAATCTACTAGTATCAAGCGGTTGTTCTGAGCTGTTTTGCTGCAAGAATTAAAGCTCCTKGTTTAAACGTTGAAACTTTTAGCTAAAACTTGTTTATAGAGTGTTTGCGGGACAACAATCACGGGGGTGTTAAGCCCCGTTTACACTAGCGAGTTTTGCGGCGATTTTTGCTGCGATTTTTTTGGCGATCCTGTCCATAATAAATAATGGTAAAGAACTTAYTTGTAAAGTTTTATTCAGGATACCAAGATTTTCCTAGACAAAAGATTTTATGTTTCCGAAAATTGCCACAAAAATCGCAGCAAAAATCGCCGCATAAATCGCCAGAGTAAACGGGGCTATACACAGTGCCTTCGTCCTGCAACTTTCGACACAAGTTTCGGTTGCCGGCACGAGTATAATAGAACCATGTAAAACTTGTGCAAAAAAATTAACTAAAAGTTTGAACGTGTAAAAAGGCTTAACTTCAAAACAGGCGCGCGAAGTGGCGAAGCCGCATGAGTCAATAAAGTTGATAACTTAAAGTGCAATAAAAAAATGTTGGCGCCGATGCGTCTTGAAATCTTTGTTTGTTCCTCTTTGTCTCTGGGTGTATTTTATTCTTGGTCGGGTGTCTAGATATTAAAGGGTGTTTTTCAACTCTTGGTTTTTTTTTTGTTTTTTTGTTTTTTTCTTTATCTTTTTATGAATCAGACAATAAATATCAGACAATAAAGGTTCAATGTTCTTTTATTATTAACTGCTTGATCTAATGATCTAAACACAAAGAGAATTGCTTCAAACCCACGAAAAAAATTTCGTCACAGAAAATTGAAAAATCACACCCAAAAAACGCAAAATTAAAGGTCACGTGACTTGTCACGTGACTAATTAACATAATGATGATTTCCCCCCTAAAACAAGCTTTTTTCGGGTTTTTATCCTCCGTAGAGTCCTAAGATAGGCTTTTCTAATCATTTTTGACGTTTTGAGCAAAAAAAAATTGCTCAAAAACCGTCTAATTTTCGCCAAAAAATCAAATTTTTAGCGGGCTTCCTGTGTAAAGTGCTAGTATCCAGGCCCTTGGTGTCACTTGTGTTCATTTCAATCTTGTTCCCTTCGCGGTTCGACGTGTGTCAATCTGTGGAAATATAAAGAGAAGCTTTTACAAGAACAAAAAAAAATTATTTGCTCGTGCTTCACCTAACAGAGAGATAAGGACACGAGAACTATGAAAGGTAAGAATTATTGTGTTTTCTGCGTTATTCTGGCGTTTTTCCGTACTTTTAACCAGTTTAAAGATTTCGAAAGTTCGATTGACCGCCATGACACGTGTTGACTTTGAACTCCGAGATTCCACTTTTTCTGAGAAAAATATAATTAAATTTAACATAAATGTGTAATTTTGGGAAATTTTGAAACAGTGTGTAAGCTTAGTTTGAGTATATTTTCATTTTTTTACATATTTTGAATCTTTGGTTTTCATCGTTACACTAAACTTAGTTTTTGAAACTTTAAAACCTCTCCTCCTTCGTTAGAACCAAGAAAAAACTAAATATTAATGTCCAAATGACTTATCTTTCTTTGTATTGCAGTTTTAAAAGTATAACTTACACGTGAAACTCTCCATAAGGCTGTCCAGTGATCTGTAACAAGATGGCTGCCAAACCTGACATCTGAACCTCATTACCATACTGCATCTTGACTCTAACCAATATATAATGGAATACTTCAGTATTAATCTGGTAATGATGGATTTACTGCACTAAAACAAGAAGCAAAAACACTTGATAACAATATAGACTCATCTTGTTGAGCATTGACCCAAGTATCAAGCTGGGGGTGACCCTGTGACCTTCATAAAAATATGGACTCGCCTTAATTCTGTATAAGTATTGATCTGAATATCAACTTGTTGACTCTGCAAACTTCATAACCTTGTTGCTGTATGATTGTTGACCTGAATATCAACCTGATGACCCTGTGACCTTCATAACAATATGGACTCACCTTGTTGCCATAGAAGTGTTGTTCATATCCCAAGCAGCAGTTTATTACTAATCATCAGGTATGTAGTTTACTCTGCAGAACAATTTCATACATAAGTTAGTTA